AAGGGAAAGGGAAAGGGAAAGGGAAGAACAAGCTTTTCTCTGCCCAGCAAGCTCACTTCAAGGACAGTTATAAGATAACACTGTCCGGAAAGCCAAGGCCAAAGGATAACGCTCCAGACACCACCACCCCCATTCGGAGCAAGGTTAAAGGAAGGAAAAAAAGAGAAAGATATCTTTTTTTTTTACTGTTACTCCTTTCCCTGGCTTCTTAAGCATGATTATGTATTACAAATGTCTGTATTTAGCCAGTTCTTGTTTTTCTTTCAATACAGCTACAAGGTCACCAGCTATGCAAGGTCACAAGTTATGTTATGCTATAGATTACGTGACCTGTCACTGTATAATTAACTGCTTTTGTTTTGCTTCTGTAAGTCCGCTTATAAAAACCCCGCTCTGTCGTTGTTCAATGTTCAGTTTTTTGGATGCGAATCTACTGAGCCCGTGCGTACCTTAAAATAAACAATCCTCCTGTTCTCCATATCAGTCTCTCTGGTCCTCAGTTCCCCGCAACATTTTTGGTGACCACGAAGGGACCCGAGATGGCAGGTTTACTGTCTCCTTTGCCTCTGGGGGCTGGAGCCCTGGGCCAGGGGAGACCTGTGACCCCAGGCGCTGCCGGGAGAACTTCAGCCCATAGAGGAGATCAGCTCTCCCCTGACCTGGCACCCCTGCTCAGCAGCACAGCAGAACCTAAAGAGGGGCTACAGGACGATTTCAGAAACAGCACGCTTCAGGAACCACAGTAAGGCTTTGGGGCCCAAGGCAGGACCCATGGGGACAAAAGAGGAGCCTGATCACCTCCTGGGGTGTGCCGAATATTCTGACCCAGAGGGGCTCGGGGCGAGAGAGTGGCTCACACCTGAACCAACACAGGACTTGAGAGTGGCTCGCTAAGTGAGTTACGAAAAGGAAACTGGAAGTGGCGAGAGTGGCTCGCCACCCCAACTAGGAAACTGGAGGTGACAAGAGTGGCTCGCCACCCCAACTGGGAAACTGGGTGGCCACTCTCACCACCCCAACTACGAACACAGGAACTAGGAGTGAGGAAGTGTGTGAAAGTGTGTGAATGGAGGGGCCTAATGAGGCTCATAAGCTGCGAAGTGGGGAGTCACAGATCTCTTACCAGGGACTGTGTGCTCCAAGAAAGTGTGGGGCCGACTAAGACTTGTGGTGATCTGCATACGGCTAATAGGAGCTGCCCTACAGCTCAGAGTTGTAGTGGGAATAAGGAACTCTCCAAAGCCAAGTGTTAGGCAGGAATCTAGACCCAATATGGCGGTATCACCCGGCATGGCAGGCCCTTTGTTAGGACTTCCCGCCCTTCACTTCCTGCTAAGACTCTCAGCCCGCGAAAAAGCGCGCGCCCGGCAAAAAACCCCTGCTCTGCGCAAGCTCCTGGACACGTCATTCCTCAGAAATCGAAACCTAACTCAGGAAAACCGAAACCTACAAACCCTGCCTACCTCGCCCTATAAAAGGCCCCCCGATACCTGCCCCAAGCGCGACTTCCTCAGCCCTCCTCCTAGTGGACCGGTGAACCTCGCTGGCGAGCCCAATAAAGGCTACCTCAGTTCTCATCTGCCTCGTGTCTTCTTGCTCGGCTCCCCATTACATTACACCAAGCAGCATCTGAAAACTCCTATCATGGAGCACTTTGGGAGGCAGAGGTGGGTAGATCACTTGAAGTCAGGAGTTCAAGACCAACCTGGCCAACATGGTGAAACCCTGCCTCTACTAAAAACACAAAAATTAGCCAGGCGTGGTGGTGCACACCTGTAATCCCAGCTACTAGGGAAGCTGAGGCACGAGAATTGCTTGAACCTGGGAGGCGGAGGTTGCAGTGAGCTGAGATCACACCACTGCACTCCAGCCTGGGTGACAGAGCGAGACTCTGTCTCAACAACAATAAAATACATACATATATGTATATATTTTGTGCACTATATATGTGTACATATACATATATACAGGTGTGTATATATACGTATATACACATACATACAGAAAACCAGGTGCTCTGTACTCTCATCATTCCAACTTATACAGTGAGTCTGGATGTTAAGATTTTTGTTTTCTTTTGTGTGTTGTGTGTTTTGTTATTGTTTTTAATTTCAGGAAAATAAAATTAGCTTAGACAGGAAAGAAAAGAGTAGCAAAGACAGTACATATCAATACTAAAAAAAAAAAAAACTATTATTTATGTGGTAGAACACTAAACCAAATTACTTATCACCTTACCTTTAGGAGGAGGGCAAAATTACTCTTCAGAGAATTAGTCACACCATTTTCACACAATTTTTTCCTCATGTGGTTTTCACTCACATTGCCACCACCAGATTGATACCTTAATAATGACTTCAGCATGGTTTCAAAAGGGTCCGCTGAAACAGACAAATTAAATATTTCTGTATCAAAATAATCACTCAAAAAGATGCCCTGTAAGAGAACAAGAGATCAGGGAGGTAAAGAATTATAGCTGAAAGCATGGCAACTGTTTTTCATAATTCCCTTAACTATTTTTATTTTTTATTATTATTATTTTTTAGACAGAATTTCACTTTTCTTGCCTAGGCTGGAGTGCAATGTCGTGATCTCGGCTCACTGCAACCTCTGCCTCCCAGGTTCAAGCAATTATCCTGCCTCAGCCTCCCAAGTAGCTAGGATTATCGGCGTGTGCCAACACTCCTGGCTAATTTTGTACTTTTAGTAGAGATGGGGTTTCAACACGTTAGTCAGGCTGGTCTCAAACTTCTGACCTCAAGTGATCCGCCTGCCTCAGCCTCCCAAAGTGCTGGGATTACAGGAATGAGCTGCTGTGCCTGGCAGACTGTTTTTAAAATACGAACAATTTAAGAGTCGGTGAAAATTGGCAAGAACACAATATCCTGACTGGGAATTCCACTGTTAAGTCATTAATACTGGCCTATATAACTATAATGTCTTCAAAATTTTTTTTAAAAAGCACATTCCCCTGATTTTAAAGCAAAATGGCTACTAAGTTTGTGGTTTGTGGTTATCAAGTATTACAGTAAAATTATTTAGCTGAATTCAAAAATTTATTTTCTCCAATTCTTGTTTCTTTAATGACTATTGTTTTCAGACGCATACAAAGATACACTGTCATTGTAAAAACAATTCAAACAATACAGAAAAGACAGCAAAATGCATCAGAGATACTGTTAATATTTTAGACATTTTTCACAGCTGTTAACACTTCTTAACAGAGAGAGAGAGACAGAAAAATCTGTCAGATTTCACAAAGAATTACATTCCCCTCTTTCAGAGCACTTCTCTCAGTTCATTAGTGTGATAATTTGGATGTTTACATACTTCCCTCACTCTCCAACATTAGCCTAGAAACTCCATAGGAGCAGAGACCATTCTGGTTTTCCTCATTATATTCCCCAACAGAGCCATCTTTTCTTGTTGTATAAAGCCTAGTAATTAAAAGCACAATCTTTTTTTTTCTTCCTCAGAGATCCTTGTTCTACAAAAGTACAATCTTGAACCAGACTGCCTGACTTCAAGTCCTAGCTCCATCACTAATTAGCTGTGACCTTAGGCAAGTAACTTAACCTCTCTGTGCCTCAGGTTTCTCTTCTGCAAAAAAGGGATAACCATAATACCCTCTTCATGAAGTTGTTCTGAGAATTAAATAAGTTAGTATTTGTAAAGGGCTTGGAATAGTGCTGAGATATCATAATTGCTATATAAGTATCTGATAAAACCAGTCTACATCATCATATTCAGGCCTGAAAGTATTCATTTATTCAGCCATTGATATTTAGGTTGCTTCAAATATTTTTTATAAACAATGCTAATATAAATATTTTCTCATATCTGTGATTATCAATTTATGTATCAACTTCTTAAGATATTATTGTTAGGTCAATGGTTACTGTCAAGTTTTTCTCCAGAGAGCTGTATAGCACATGTACACCACGTGACTCCCCATTCCCTCATGGACGATGCATTCTGCCGGTATTCTTCATCTCTTCTAGGGAGATAAGTAAAATTTCTTTTTTTTTTTTTTTTTTTGAGACGGAGTCTCGCTCTGTCGCCCAGGCTGGAGTGCAGTGGCGCGATCTCGGCTCACTGCAAGCTCTGCCTCCCGGGTTCACGCCATTCTCCTGCCTCAGCCTCCTGAGTAGCTGGGACTACAGGCGCCCGCCAACACGCTCAGCTAATTTTTTTTGTATTTTCAGTAGAGATGGCGTTTCACCGTGGTCTCGATCTCCTGACCTTGTGATCCACCTGCCTCCGCCTCCCAAAGTGCTGGGATTACAGGCTTGAGCCACTGTGCCCGGTCAATTTCTCATTTTTATTTGTACCCAACTGAGTATTAGTGAGGCTGAAATCTTTAAATTTGCTTACTCCTTTCTTAATAACCTTGTTTCTCCCTATTTTTCTAAAAGGGCATTTTCTTTTTTGAGATGGAGTCTCCATCTTTCATCTAGGTTGGAGTGCAATGGCATGATCTTGGCTCACTGCAACCTCCTCCTCACAGGTTCAAGCGATTTTCCTGCCTCAGCCTCTCGAGTAGCTGGGATTACAGGTATCTGCCACCATGCTCAGCTAATTTTTGTATTTTTAGTAGAGATGGGGTTTCACCATGTTGGCCAGGCTGGTCTCAAACTCCTGACCTCAGGTAATCTGCCCACCTTAGTCTCCCAAACTGCTGAGATTACAGGCGTAAGCTACCACGCCTGGCCTATTTTTTCTTATTAGTTTTTAAGTACTATATATATTTAACATATTGGTGGTAAATTACTTTTCCATTTCTCTTTTAAACTTTGTCATGGTGCCTTTTTATTTAACAAAAATATGGTAATCAATTACTACACATCAGGTGTAGCAATGTGTGGCCAACATTTTACTATCTCTCTTTCTTCCTTTCTCAAGGTGATTTTGACTTTGTTTTTTAAGTTAGAGACAGTCTCAATGTGTCTCCCAGACTGGTCTTCAACTCTTGGGTTCAAGCGATCTTCCCACCTCAGCTTCCTGAGTAGCTGGGACTACAGGTACGTGCTACCGCATCCATTCAAAGTATTTGTTATTGTACTAAAATTTTTCACTTTTATGTGGACAGATTTATCTAACTTGTGTTTTACAGCTCCTAGATCTTTTACCATTTTAAGAAGAGGTTTATCTACATTATCTCCAACCAAAGAGAAAAAATTTAATATTTAACCATGTTTTCTTGTATTACCTTTATGACCTGATATTTTAATCATCTATTTTGATATAAGAAATATATCAAATTTCTTATTTTGATATAAGAAATAAGGCAGAGGCCAGGTGAAGTGGCTCACACCTATAATCCCAGCATTTTGGACGGCAGAGGTGGGAGAATCACTTGAGTCTAGGAGTTGGAGGCCAGCCTGGGCAATGTAGCGAGACCTCATCTCCACTAAAAAGTAAATAAATTCGTCAGGCATGGTGTTGCATGCCTATAGTCCCACCTACTCAGAAGGCTGAGGTGGGAGGATTGCTTGAGCCCAGGAGTTGTAGGTTATACAGTGAGCTATGACAGCACTGCTGCGCTCTAGTCTGGGCAAAGGGCGGGGGGCGAGGAATAGAATAAGGCACGGATTGAGATTTATTTTTTACAAATAGCTAACCCATATTCCCCAAACCATTTATTACTTTTCCCTTTTGTCATAAAATACTATCTTTATCATATATATTTGGTTTGTCTTCTGAACTCTCCACTCTTTTACATCTGTTTGCCTAGCCTGACCATAGCATGAGAGTCTTTTTTTTGAGATGGAGTCTCTCTCTGTCACCCAGGCTGGAGTGCAGTGGTGTGATCTCAGCTCACTGCAACCTCTGCCTCCCGGGTTCAAGAGATTATCCTGCCTCAGTCTCCCAAGTAGCTGGGATTACAGGCGCACATTACCAGGCCTGGCTAATTTTTGTATTTTTAGTAGAGACAGGGTTTCACCATGTTGGCCAGGCTGGTCTCGAAATCCCGACCTCAGGTGATCAGCCTGCTTTGGCCTCCCAAAGTGCTGGGACTACAGGCAGGAGCCATCATGCCCAGCCAGGAGATTCTTTTTTTTTAAGAGACAGGTTCTTGCCCTGTCCCCTGGCTGCCTGGCTGAAGTAAAGTGGCACAACCTTGGCTCACTGAAGCCTCAATCTCCTGAACTCAAGCAATCCTCCCACCTCAGCCTTCCAAGTAGCAGGTCTACAGACACATGTATCACATCTGGCTAATTTTTGTATTTTTTATAGAGATGGGGTCTCACTATGTTGCCCAGACTGGTCTTGAACTCCTGGCCTCAAGTGATCATCCCACCTTGGCCTCCTAAAGCATTGGGATTACAGGTATGAGCCACTGCGCCTGGCCAGTACAAGGTTCTTTAAATTAATCTAGCTTTATAATACTCTATACTAACTGATGGTACAAGTATTTCCCTCATCAATATTCTTTTTTTTGGAAGACAGAGTCTTACTCTGTTGCCCAGGCTGGAGTGCAGTGGCACAATCTCAGCTCACTGCAACCTCTACCTCCCAGGTTTAAGCAATTGTCTTGCCTCAGCCTCCCGAGTAGCTGGGACTACAGGCACACACCACCATGCTTAACTAATTTTGTATTTTTAGTAGAGACAAGGTTTTACCATGTTGGCCAGGATGGTCTCAATCTCCTGACCTCATGATCCACCTGCCTCGGCCTCCCAAAGTGCTGAGACTACAGGCATGAGCCACCATGCCCAGCCCATTAATACTCTTTTTAGGATTGTTTCCTGGCTGCTTATGTACATTTACTCTTCCAGATACACCTTGGAACTATTTTTTCAGGGTCCCAAAAAAAATCCTGTTGGAATTTACACTGAGATTTTATCATATATGCTTATAAATTAAGGAAAAACACAATTATTTAAAATACTATCTTAAATGAGTTAATAAGACTTCAGCACAGTGCCTAGCACATAGTACAAAGCATTCAATAAATGTTGGCTATTCCTATCCAAGAACAATGTATATACACAGTTCTTTATTTATAAACATTCATTCTTTTTTTATTTTGAGACACAGTCTCGCTCTGTCGCCCAGGCTGGAGTACAGCGGCACAATCTTGGCTCACTGCAGCCTCCGCCTCCCGGGTTCAAGAGATTCTCATGCCTCAGCCTCCCAAGTAGCTGGGATTACAGGCATGTGCCACCACACCCGATTAGTGTTTGTATTTTTAGTAGAGAAGGGGTTTCACCATGTTGGCCAGGCTGGTCTTGAACTCCTGGCCTCAAGTGATCCACCCGCCTCGGCCTCCCAAAGTGTTGGGATTACAGGCATAAGCCACCGTGCCGGGGCTAAACATTCATTCTTAAAAGGTAAGGATCAGGTAATTAGAAAGAAAATGAAACTTACATGTCTTATTGGGATTGATATGCTGCTTCAGTACATCAACAGTGCCCAAACTAACCACGAGGCGCCTGCCAAACCAGAAGGAGACTACAGGCCCATATCTCTCATGCAAATTAACCAGGAACTCGTGCAAACTTCCACTATTCACAATATCTGGAAGATTACCATCTCTGGCAAAAGAGCAACATTTGACAAAATCATCAATTTAACTTGGAAAAATCAGAAAAACAACAGTTGACTCTGAATTAACTGTGTCAATAAATGAGAACAAAGGTTCATGAAATTCAAATTAGTCCAAAATCCAAAACTCAATTATATTTGCCTTCTTGCTATATTTCTATAGTTATATTTAGATATGGATTTGTCTGATATTTTAAGAATTCTTAACACTTGAAACCAAATAAGAAAGCTCCATAGGAACATCTGACTTAGATACTGGAAACTATCCCACTTTCCCAGCACCTAATTCTGAGATGACAACGGACATCATCAGCTGGTGAAAATCATCAGATCAGCTATGGCGATCTTTTCCTTCTTTCCTTCTATCTTAATCTTCTTTTCAGCTTTCTCTGGCAAGGGGAAGTGAAAGCAATGAAATGTTTTGATTTACACGACTCTCTTTTCTGTTAACAAAGTTTAGGTTACCTACCAAGGTAAAGGTAGGGCAATCAAAGGAAATGAATTGAATAAGATGAGTAATCTAAAAATATGGTTTATCATTTTGGTTTGTCTTCTGAACTACCTACTCTATTCCATCTGTCTCCCTAGTCCTACCACAAAATAACCTTAGTTCTTTTTATTTATTTATCTTTTAGAAACACAGTCTGGCTCTGTCACCTAGGCTAGAGTGTAGTGGCACAATTATAGCTCACTGCAGCATTAAACTCCTGGCCTCAAGCGATCTTCTACCTCAACCTCCTCAGTAGCTGGCAAGAGCTACCATGATTGGCTAAAAATATGGTTTTGTCTTGATATCAATAATGAAGAATTAACTCTACTGAATTCCAAGAAAATAATTACTCACTTTTCTTCAGTTGGAGTAATCCCCGGAATTCCTGCAGCTTGTCTGAAAGCCTTAAAAAAAAAAAGTTTATAATAATGAATTATCATATAACCCATAAGTAAGATGTGTTTCACCAAGACATCTGCAGGACCTTAAATAATGGCTTTCCAATTAAGTTGAATCTAAGAAATCATTTCCATATTAAAATACAAAAAAAGGGATTCTTTGCATGGAAAAGAATGATTTCCATGTCCTTTGCAGGGATATAGATGGAGATGGAGGCCATTTTCTTTAGCAAACTAATACAGGTATAGAAAACCAAATACTACATGTTCTCACTTAGAAGTGGGAGCTAAATGATGAGAACACATGGACACATAGAGGGGAACAATACATGCTGGGGCCTTTCAGAAGGTGAGAGGATCACGAAAAACAGCTAATGGGTACTAGGCTTAATAATTACCTGGGTGATGAAATAATCTATACAACAAACCCCCATGATACAAGTTTACCTATATAATAAACCTGCCCTTGTACCCCTGAACTTAAAATGAATTTTTTTTTTTTTAAAAGAATTATTTCGGCCGGGCGCAGTGGCTCAGGCCTGTAATCCCAGCACTTTGGGAAGCTGAAGAGGGCAGACCACGAAGTCAGGAGATCAAGACCATCCTGGCTAACAGTGAAACCCCTTCTCTACTAAGAATATAAAAAACTGGCTGGGCGTGGTGGCACACACCTGTAGTCCCAGCTACTCGGGAGGCTGAGGCAGGAGAATTGTTTGAACCCAGGAGGCAGAGGTTGCAGTGAGCCGAGATCGTGCCACTGCACTACAGCCTGGGCGACAGAGCAAGGCTCCATCTCAAAAAAAAAAAAAAAAAAAGGGCCGGGCGCAGTGGCTCACACCTGTAGTCCCAGCACTTTGGGAGGCCAAGGCAGACAGATCATGAGGTCAGGAGATCGAGACCATCCTGGCTAACACGGTGAAACCCCATCTCTACTAAAAATACAAAAAATTAGCCGGGCATGGTGGCGGGCGCCTGTAGTCCCGGCTACTTGGGAGGCTGAGGCAGGAGAATGGCGTGAACCCGGGAGGTGGAGCTTGCAGTGAGCTGAGATCACGCCACTGAACTCCAGCCTGGGCGACAGAGCAAAACTCTGTCTCAAAAAACAAACAAACAAAAAAAGAATGATTTCATTCAGGGTATTATTCTTCCTCTGTGTCAATTAAACTAAGGTGTTTAAAGAATTTAATACACACTTTACATCAAGTAACACATACCCAGTACATTTTTCTTTCTTTGTTCTGAGTTTATATATGGTCCCAGCTGGTTTGGCTTTAAAAAAAAAAAAAAAATCAAGGTCCATTCTAAGAGTTTCATGATGATGATGCAAGAAACAGAAGAAAATTGCTGTGCTTGGCAGGGCGCAGCACCTCCTGCCTGTAATCCCAGCACTTTCAGAGGCTGAGGTGGATGATCACTTGAGGTCAGGAGTTCAAGACCAGCCTGACACACATGGCAACCCCGTCTGAACTAAAAATACAAAAATTAGCTGGGCATGGTGGCACACTCCTGTAGTCCCAGCTACTTAGGAGGCTGAGGCATGAGAATCGCTTGAACCTGGGAGGCGGAGGTTGCAGTGAGCTGTGATTGCACCACTGCATTTCAGCCTGGGTGACAGAGTGAGACTCTGTCTCAAAAAAAAAAAAAAGGAAACAAAAAACTGATGTGCCGGACCCATTTTCTTGAGTGGGTGGGAAGGTAGGAGATCTAGTACAGGAGTGAAGAGATGGGGGGGGACATTTAATTGGGAGCATAGCCAGTTCATAGTAATAGGAGGGAACATGGAATATAAGGGCACACATTTAGGCAGATAGGCAGGGTGGTGTGGAAATTATCTCCAGATTGGTTTTATTTTTTCAATGAAATAGGCCAGGTGTGGTAGTTTGCATCGGTAATCCCAGTACTTTGTGAGGCCAAGGCAGGATGATCATTTGAGTCCAGGAGTTTGAGACCAGCTTGGGCAACGTGGCGAAACCCTGTCTCTCTAAAAAGTACAAAAAATTCACCAGGTGCAGTGGTTAGCGCTGTAGTCCTAGCTACTCAGGAGACTGAGGCAGAAGGATCACTTGAGCCTGGGAGGTCGAGGATGCAGTAAGCCAAGGTCACATCATTGCACTCCAGCCTGGGTGACAGAGTGAGACCCTGTTTCAAAAAAAGAGGCCAGGAGCAGTGGCTCATGCCTGTAATCCCAGCACTTAGGGAGGCCGAGGTGGGTGGATCACTTGAGGTCAGGAGTTCAAAACCAGCCTGGCACACATGTTGAAACCCCGTCTCTATTAAAAATACAAAAATTAGCAGGGCGTGGTGGTGGGCGCTGTAATCCCAGCTACTCAGGAGGCAGAGGCAGAGAATCTCTTGAGCCCAGGAGGCGGAGGTTGCAGTGAGTTGAGATCATGTCACTGCACTCCAGCCTGGGAGACAGAGCGAGACTGTCGAAAGAAAAAAAGGAAAGGACAAAGGAGAGAGAAGAGAAAGAGAGAAAGAAAGAGCATCTCTCTCAA